GTCAGAATTCTGAGAAAAAAAGTCAGAATTCTGAGATTAAAGTCAGAATTCTGAGAAAAAAGTCTGAATTCTGAGATTAAAGTCAGAATTCTGAGAAAAAAGTCAGAATTCTGAAATTAAAGTCAGAATTCTGAGTTTAAAGTCAGAATTCTGACTTTAATCTCAGAATTCTGACTTTAATCTCAGAATTCTGACTTTTTTCTCAGAATTAAAAAAAAAAATTCACACGTGGCCCTAATCCTCTTCCGCATTCAGGTGGCAGGTTCAGAATATAATAATATAATGCAACAATCAGTAATGTTTTTTTTTCCTTTACGTAAGTAATTGTTTTTTGGACTATGCAGTTCTGTTTTTTTGCGTTGCATGTTTTCTTATTGTGCCAAAAAAACTTTCTCATAGCACATACATTTGTTATTTAACATTTCTTGTTGTAAGCTATTTTTCAGAACAAGCATTTTAACAAATGCTTTCAAAAAGTGATGGAGACATATCCCCAGCATCCCCAGTGTAAATGACACCTCTGCAGGTGGTGAGAATAGACTGATTTTCTAATGTTTAGTGTTACTCACCATCTAACTCAGCTTCAGTTAGGAGCTGCATGAAACCTTTGATGTTATATGAATCTGGTTTTATCGGCTTGCAATTTTCAATGCACATTTAAGAGTGTAAGTTGCAACTATTATTAACAATAATGGAAGACTGAAAGCCCCCCTCCAGTGTATTTTGACATTTCTATGATATTTCATTTATGAGTTATTTCCTTACAATGTTGATTACCCACATACTTTGACAAATATTTTTTGACAAATAGCTTAATTTTGTGCTCAAAGTTGCAAAAATTGCTTAGTTGTTAAAACGGGGTGGTGACGTAATTCCATAAGTCATACGTCATTCTCCAAGCTTGCACAGGCGCACTGTCATGCCTCGTTAAAAAACTATCACGCCTCGTTAAGTCAGAGCATCAAACCGATAAACATCTTTCTGAGCTAACTAACCAATTTATCATGTAATTTACTTAGAACTTACAGTATGTTTCTCTGCGTCTGATTGTTGGTTTGTCTTTCTAGTTTAGTTAGCTAACGTTAAGTTAACTAAGTTGTAGTTAGCCAGGTGTGGTTAGCTAGCATAGGAATTGCAAATCGTTAGTGAACACTCCAGCCGATCAGTTTTTGGTTGTCATGGTAATGTGCAGTTCTATCACCAAAACTCATACATTACAGAATATTATGAACAGCCAGGACACAAAAAGTGATCCACATCATCTCAAGCACACTTATCTTCCAAAACCATTGTCAAGGTTATGTAACCTGTATCAGCTTAAATGCAAGAGCAAGCATCCTGGAACTGCTACTTCTACCACTGTACACACACACACACACACACACACACACACTGTATCCTGCATTCATTGATCCACAACATTAACGTTATTTAAGTTAACTAATAATAGATGCAATTCAATATACCAACAATGCTGTTACAGTTCCAGTAATGATAACGTATATGCTGCTTTCACTCACCAGGTAACGTTAAGATAACATTGGCCTCATCTGGCTCGTTTTCTGTAGTTTCAGTAACTTTAATGTTTGTGTCTTCTGCTGTAGCTGCGGTGTCACCCCGAGCGGCATGAGATTCAGCTGCAGTCTTACCAAAACACTGAAGGAGTGTAGTTTGAGTTTGCTTGCGTTTCACATCTTCTTTTGTGATTCACATTAGTTGATTTCAAACTTGCACTGAGTGACCGCCACGGAGCTGCGTTGTTGTTTGGTAGTCAGATCCCGGTCACAGGCCACAGCCACTGATGTAATTCCTAGAAAGCTCAACAGCTCATCACCTTTTTTCCATTTTTGTGTATGGTTGTTGGTTTAAATCAGATAGGATGCCTTTTGCGTGAGAGATTTGCCCTCTGCTGTGATCACATGTCCCAGATATGTCACTTGCAACATTTAGAAAGACTAGCCTTGTGACTGTTGTAGGGACAAAATAGCATCACAACGGTGTCAAAGTTGCATGCTTCTTTTGATGGACTACAGATCATTAGGTCATCAATGTTTTCATGCAACCCACTGTGGAAATATAAAAATCAACAAATCATCAAAAATCTTCTTTGGGTGAACTATCAGATGTGTGGCATCTTTTATCAGGCCATTGTCATACTTATGAACTGCCCCTCTTGAATTTGGCACCTCAAACAGGTTAGCCGTGTTCACAGTGGGGTGTGAAGAATGTATGCCAGTAACTACTTCAACATTCTTTTATCCGGACCAGTGCATGTGAATACTCTTTTGTGTACATTACCATCTTTACACTCATCTATTCTCACCATACACGGGTCTGACTTCTTGGAATACTTCCATTTCAATTCAGCAGGCTTAGCTAGTGTGACGTGTGGACTCACCCCTTCAAACAGTTCTGATCGAAAAGCGAAAGAGAAACAAAACCGCTGCAGCCTCCCTTTTCCAGAAAACACCCCTCACTCATAAGGCTGGTTACTTCAGACAGTATGCCAACACTGTCCCACTCTTCTTCTCTTCCTGTGGTTTTGTGTTGGTCACCAAGGAGCAGCGAGCAGCCTACACTCTTGAAGAGTCCTCAGCACGTTGTAGTGACTCTGATTTTCCATGGGCCTCAGCTGGTTAATTTTGGATGTGAATGGAGGGTCCAGAATCAGAATCAGAATCAGAAGGAGCTTTATTGCCAAGTAGTGTTTTACACATACGAGGAATTTGCTATGGTGATAAGGTGCTACACGTAGACAAACACACAGTTAAATATGTAAATATGGAATGGAATGCATTATTCTGGGTCTGTGCCATGCAGAAGTAATGTAACGGAAGAGAATATTGTGTACATATAAATATATAAACTGACAACATAAAAATATACAACAAAGATCAACAATCAACAAAAAATATGTGCAACGTGCCAGGTCTGTGCACAACACAAGATGAAACAGTATTTACATGTGCAGAGACATTTTGTATCATTTGCAAGGGGGGAGTGTCAGTGGGGGACCCGGGACTTGTTAATGAGTCTAGCTGCAGACGGGAAGAAACTGTTTTTGTGGCAAGAGGTTTTGGTCCTGATGGACCGCAGCCTCCTGCCAGAGGGGAGAGTCTCAAACAGTTTGTGTCCGGGGTGGGAGGGGTCAGCTGCAATCTTTCCTGCTTGCCTCAGAGTCCTCGAGGCGTTCAGGTCCAGAAGTGATGCAAGATTGCAGCCAATCACCTTCTCTGCAGGGTGAATGATACGCTGCAGCCTGCCCTTGTCCCTGGCAGTGGCAGCAGCATACCAGATGGTGATGGAGGAGGTGAGGATGGACTCGATGATGGCGGTGTAGAAGTGCACCATCATTGTCTTTGGCAGGCTGAACTTCTTCAGCTGCTGCAGGAAGTACATCCTCTTCTGGGCCTTCTTGGTGAGGGAGGCGATGTTCAGCTCCCACTTGAGGTCCTGGGAGATGATGGTGCCCAGGAAGCGGAAGGAGTCCACAGTGGTGACTGGGGAGTCACACAGGATGATGGGGGAGGGTGGGGCTGTGCTCTTCCTGAAGTCTGTGACCATCTCTACTGTCTTCTGAGTGTTGAGCTCCAGACTGTTCTAGCTGCACCAGGTCACCAGATGGTCGATCTCCCACCTGTAGGCAGACTCATCCCCACCTGAGATGAGCCCAATAAGGGTGGTGTCGTCCGCAAACTTCAGGAGCTTGACAGACTGGTGACTGGAGGTGCAGCTGTTGGTGTACAGGGAGAAGAGAAGGGAGGGAAAGAATGCAGCCTTGAGGAGATCCGGTGCTGATGGTCCTGGAATCAGAGACATGTAATAAAAGCTGACGTTTGGTGACAATGATTCCTGGTTCATCTTGTTCCAAATCAAGTTCACAGGAAGCCTGAGCCTGTCTGAGTGATTCCTCATTATTTGAAATGTGTGCAGGGTTTTTTCCCAACAGGGAATGAAGAAGATTAAATTAGCTCCACAACTAGAGTTGGGAAATCTTCTCTTTTTTCATATCGTCCAATTATGGCTATTCAAGATCACCAATGGGCCATCTGATCACCAGGGGGCTGTGCCAGCATTGAAGATTTAAATGCTCCGTATTTGTATAGCGCCTTTCTAGTCTTTTTGACCACTCAAAGCACTTTTACACTACATCTGCATTCACCCGTCATACACATTCATACACTGAGCCTAAGTGCTCAAACAGAACAGCCAACCTTCCGATTAACGGCCAACCCGCTCTACTCCTGAGCCACAGCCACTTCTAGCGTCAAAGTGAAACGTGACCTCATGTATTTTGGCCTGTTCTTATTTTTAATATCCAAATACAAATCATATTCATAACTTAACGACTATGTGAGATGTCAGATCCACAGAAAGAAAAAGCAGACAAACTGGTAAGTAATTAGGATTTAAAGTTCTATTCTGCTGATTAACGGGGCTCAGCAGGCGCTTACATTAAGATAGCTTTCCTTAATAGCTCGACTCATTACATGCTTGCTTATAACTTATTTAAAGTTGGGTCTCAGACATTGACAGCATTGTGTTAAGAACATAGATAGACTAACTTCTCAGAGTTAACTTGAAGGCTTTAGTTTGTCTTTTAACTTGTTTGACTTGTTTTCCTTAGTTTAAAAGCACTTTGTTACCTGTAATGAAAAAGGCTATACAAATAAAGCTATAATTGTTATTATTAGGACAAAAAGGTTTAATCTGTGACAATGCATTGTATTTTTAAGGTTTATCAGGTTTGTTTTAGTGTAAAATCTTAATCTAAAAGCATTACTAGTTACTACAGGTGGTGAAAAGGAAATCTTCAAGTACTCAAATATTATACTTAAGAACAGAACTTGAGTAAATGTACTTTGCTTAGACACGTGACATTTTTGATGTTTTGTGAAACAGGTGATAGGTGAGATGTTGGGCGTGTCAATGGGCAGGTGAGCTTGAGTTGGAGGTAGACAGAGAGGGAGGGAGGGAGAGAGAGGGAGGGAGGGAGAGAGAAGAAGGGTATTAAAGCAGGTGCATTTCTGATGATATGGACTTGCAGCGATGGCTTTCTACAAAGTGATCTGTGTGGCAACTCTGCTGACTCTCCTGACACAAGGTAAGAACCCTCCTCATTGTGCACAGAGGATCAAGAATCTTTTAATTAAGTAAGAGAAGTTACTTAATTACGTGCAAATGCAAATCCTGCGTTCAAATTAAACTTTACAAAATTGGAGCAATAAAATGTACTAAACCAAAGTGCTCAGTGGATCCTGTCACACTGAATCAAAATATACATCAAAACTATTTATAAAAAGGAGAAGGAGAAATAAAGTATGAAAAGTCAAGGTTTAAAAGTCATTATGTAATCTGTTAAATTTATGGAATATTTCATGAAATTAAAGGGCAAAACTACCCAAATGTATTTTTGACATGTTTAAAAAGAGATTAATCTGCATGTGAGCAGTAATTATAGAAATCAGATAAATGTAATGGAATAAAAATAGTTTTGCACTGAACTCATGGCTTTGTTTAGACTGATTTAAAAGTTATCCTGGATGCATAAAGTGAAATAACATACATTAATTTCCAAGGACTGCTTTACTGTAATTGTTCTATTCTATTCTGTTCTATCAGATAATTATAAAAAGAATTCAGGAAGCAGCTGCGTGATGTAAATGCTATTTTTCCTGACAGTCACTATTTGCATTCATTCTTGGAGAAATAGGACCTTTCCTTTTTGCATATACCTTTGTGATTAATAAAGTTGTACTCTCAATAAAGACTTTGATACACTCTAATTGGGGATGTTAGCTTCCTTCTGAAGCAGCTGTGAGCTGTACTCTATTAAAGGTGCACATTTGTGTGGATTTATGGTGAGATTTATGTCTGACTACAAGTCTTTTCAGTTTCGATTTGCCATCTCTGATGAAGAAAAGCGCGCTTTTCTCATCCCAAAAAGGTTCTGTCAGACGGTCTAAAGGGGATCAGCAGAGCATAAACTCAGGCTAATGCACAGAAGAGGACAGGGCAGGAAGGTTTTGTTAAAATATTGATTGTACTCTCATAGATTGTGATTTTATTTATATTTATATATTACACCTTTTGTCTATAAATATTAGTAAGTTATTCTGCAAAAAGAAAACAGATATGTGGGAGAGATTTTGGATGTGCACAATGTTTTAGACATGAGTAGAAAAAATTGATTAATCATTGGTGCCACATGCACATTTAAAAAGGTTACTTCAGTCATGCCTACATGTGTGCTGACTCAGCAGGGATGAAATTAAATGAGAAAAGTTGATCTACAGGAGAAAAATATCTGACAGCAGTTCAAATGCCTGAGAGCCTTACTGCATTTTATAACTCTATATGTTTTATATTTTGAATTGTGGTCTGTAACTGGATATTTTAATAAATAAAATTTAACTCAAAAGCTAGCTAAAAGGTTGCTGTAAATTTTACAATAATTTACTGGCAGCTGGATTTACAGTATCATTACTGTAATTTCAATTACAGTACCATTATTGTAAATTAAATTACAGTACCATTACTGTAATTCTATTCACAGTATCATTACTGTAGTTTCATTTACAGTATAGTTACTGTATTTTCATTCACAGTATTATTACTGTATTTTCATTTACAGTATAATTACTGTATTTTCATTCACGGTATTATTTTTGTATTTTCATTTATTTACAGTATTATTACCATATTGTCATTTACAGTACTTTCATTTACTGTATGTTTTCAATTACTTTTTCTTCACTTCCATTAAACAAAATCCACATTTAAAAAACATTTTTTTAACTTACAGTCCAATTTCAGGACAGCAATGCAAACCACATATTTCACCCAAAAAGATTACAACATGAACATTTGTTCTTACAATATGCTTTTTAATTTTAAAACATTTACTTATTCAAAGTACAAAGAGACACCTGTGTTCATGTAAAGAGTGATGGCAGGATAAAGACCACAGAAGGTACCTGCAGGATGGTACAGCAAGCACAGTTCAATTAAGTGAGCTGAGATTGAAAGGGATTTGGTTTATGACCCAATGCCTGCAAAACATAACGTTTTCTAGAAATCAGTCCAATAGTTTTTGAGACATGTCATGTCATTTCACACACCAAAGTCCGTTGGATTCATTCACTTGGGATTCTTGTCTGAAGAAAATCTTACAACATTCCATATTGTGATATTAGTTATTTTACGCTATACATAAAAATCGTCTGATTCAAAAACGTGTTGAATCTTCTTTCCTTCTGGTGTTAACATCCATCCCAGTCAGTGTGTTCAAGTGATCACAGAAATCTTTTCATGTGAAGAAATAGCCACTGTTCTTTGAGTTTATCATTGCTGTGTGGGGGTTGGTGATGGCATAGCTCTTATAAGCACATGTGACAGCAAGCAACAGTGGCTTTAGTAGGGTTCAAGCGTTAATCTCGGATCGAGTCCATAATCGTTCTCACCATAGCTAAATGCTCCTGCTTCATGGGTCACTGGCCTTGTGCGACACATTGTCGCAAATTCAGTGGCATTTTCTCCTACCAGACTTCATACGATCTCACCCAGTCAGAGATGTAAATAGTGACAATCCGGTGACGAGTCCGACTATGTTTTGAACAATTAGCGGTGGGGTGGGGGTTACGGTAGGTTGTTGTCTTAAAGGTTGCACACACACTGCTCAGAAAAAAATGTTCTTATCTGTTTGTAAAGGCACATGTGAGACCCCGGTGTGGGCGGAGATAATGAGCAGAGTGCAGCGCATACAGACAAGAAAGCGTCACACACCTTTTCTGTCTGATTAAATTGCACACTATTTTGTGGTTATGTAATCGCACGTGATGACATCGCGATTGTGATTGCAATTAGATTAATCGCGCAGCCCTAATATTATTTACATGATGGAGGTTACTATATTCATTATAATTTCATATAAAAGAATATTGTATATAGCTATAGCTTACCACTATTATAATATTATTCCAGTTACAGCTGTTTCATTTTGGGGTTGTTGTTTGTGCAAGAAAAATGCTCTACATAGTAGTAAGTCTCTAACTTTTATTTTAAGCAGGCTACTAAGTCGTCAGTAATCATGCTGGTTTATGCAGAACAATGAGTTCAACATTTGAAAAGTTTGCTGTAGCCCATCAAACCTTTTTTAAATGTCCCGCTCCATCCAGATCTGTTCACCATCCATATGGTAGTTATCATGTTGGATATGATGTGAATATTTGTGAGAATGACTGTGGTGCAGTTGAAACAAAGAAATGTAGTTTAAAAGGGAGTTTAATATTAGCTGCATATGGTCATGTGTTTGGACATAATTTCATTAAATACAAAATGAGTGAGATGTTATTAATGTAAAATAGATACCTTACTGTCAATTTGAACCTAGACACAGGGCCCAGGAGTCCCGCACACTACCGACTGAGCTAAACGTGCGCTCGAGTATCCAAGCATTTCAAATAATTTTACTATGTTCTGGCACGATTTTTTATGATGAGTTCTCCAGCTGGCTGCCCTCAAGCGATGACAACATTCCGTCTCATCCGCTTCCATTATAAACTCAGAAAAAGCCTGACTTCTTTACCAGACTAAAATCGCGATAGTGGAAAAAGTATAAAAGATATCAAAAAGTTGAATGCAAGTTTAATAGCTTAAAGATTTCTCAACTTTTTAAAATTGAAATGATAAACAAAGCTTAAAGTATGCAGAAGTAGGCTTTGAAAGCTGAAGGAGCTTAAAAAGGATTTGAATATTTTCCCATCCGCTCCCCATTATAAACTCAAAAAAAAGCCTGAAGAGTTCATCAAACTAAAACAGCTGTAGTGAAAAAAGTATAAAAGATATGAAAAAGTTGAATACAACTTTAATAGCTTAAAGATTTCTGAACATTTGAACAAAGTTGAAATGAGAGAAATAGCTGAAAGTATGCAGAAGTAGTAGGCTTTGAAAGCTGAAGCAGCTGAATCATGATTCTCCACTGACTTACATTGTAAAAAAATTACTTAAAAAGCTTAATAGCTTAAAAAGTACAAAAGTTAGAAAATAGTTGAATATTTCCCATAATGTCCTTAAAGAGCTCAACATTATGATAGCTGAATGGTTTTTGTAGCACAAAGTATGCTGAAGTTATCAAAGGCCAAAAAACGTACGGAATAATAATAATAAAGCTTTGGATAACAATCACTATTGTTGTATTATTTGTATTTATTTTTCGAGCCAGAAATCTAGTTTAGTACAAGCTAACTAGTCAAGTTGAATTATGCTTGAATTGAAAATTAAAGGCGCTGAATTTATTTTAACACAGACCTATAATTCTGCAACTTAAAGCCACCTTAAAAATTTACTTTCTTATTCTTTTCAGTCTGTCCTTGTAGTAAGAGTTTCTTGTAAGCATGCAATTAAAGTAATATGTGTGGATTTAATTTAAGCCAATTATGTGAACTATAGCCAAGACATATCAGTAAATATAAATACACAATTACTGTATCATAAAGATTTTGTTTGTTTTATGTTTTCAGAGTCTCACTCACAACTAAGTGGTAAGTCAAAGTTTCTACGGTCACTTTTTTACTTCCTGTCTGTTTTTCAACATTTTAAACATGTTTTTGGGACGTAAACATGTTGTTAATACCTTCTTTACTTTCTTTTATCTAATTATTTCCCCACTGTGTCTTGTCTCTCTCCTCAGTGTGCGGTAAGCCAACACTCAACACCAAGATTGTTGGAGGACAGGTGGCCACTCCAGGCAGCTGGCCCTGGCAGGCCAGTCTGCGAACCTCTGGGTCCCACTTCTGTGCAGGAACCCTCATTAACAATCAATGGGTGATGACTGCTGCTCAGTGCTGTGCAAGGTAAGCAGAGGGTGGTGACAAATAAACCACATGTCATACAGTGGCGTAAACAGGCAGTGGTTTCTAAATTGGGGGCAGGAATCTCTCCAAGCGGTCACAAAATAAATCTGAGAGGTCTTCAGAGGACTGAGAGGACAGAAAACAAATGTTTTTCTGCTACTGAAATTTGACCGATATCACCATTCAAGGAGAAAATGTGTGTTGTTTAAACCTTTGATGATGTGTATCAGCAGACAATGATTCATTTTGAGGGGTCATTAGCCAAAAAGGATGGTTACTGCTTCAGGGAAAGAAAATTAAAGAGGATTATTCTAGAAAGAGTTTAGGATGCATTTTAGGGTTAATTTTTGAGAGGTCATATTATGCTTTTTGGCTTTTTCCCTCTCCTTTATTTAGTTATAAATCTTTTTTTGTGCATGTAACAGGTTTGCAAAGTGAAAAAGCCCATAATCCACCCCAAAGGGAGTTCCCATCTCCCACAGAAAACTCCGCTCTGAAATCCTGAAAACAGCTTGTTTGTAGTCCAGCTGTTTCCCTTTCCCCTAATGCAATCTCTAAACCCACTGGCTATCGTCTGACAGCTATTTGGCTTTATTAATTTTGTAAACTGGTTACTGTGAAACAATCCGTTCATAGACATCTCCCGCTCAATTCTCGCGTCACATGTTGCTAATTGAACTGTCAACATGGGGTGCATCTCAAGTCTCTTATTTGTTGTTTCCTGGCTCGAACCAGAAGTTGTTCTTCTCCGGCATCTTGCAGACCGTCCCAAAGCTCTTATTTGTGCTCCGAGGAGCAAGGAGCCATCTCTGAGGAGCTATGAGTGAAGATACACGAGTGCCGCCTTGGCAGAGGTCTTTGACGACACGTCCCTTTATTTGATAGTTCTGATGTATCGCAACACTGTTTCATACAGATAGACAGATAGGCCTGATTAAACTCAAGTGTATCACTGCCAAGTTTTATATGTGATTTGTTTTATGATTCGCCTTCTTCATTTATTATGAAGATTTTTCTTTTCCTTAAATTTCCCACATAAATTTTTATTATAGAGACAATTAAAGTCAGAGAGAGATGGAGAGAAACACTTTCTACATCATTTATCGCCATTTCCATTCAGTCACATGAGGTTGATCATGTGTGTGGTCCAAATATAGACAACAAAAAAACTAAACGAGTCACAAAACTGCATTAAAGACTCAGAAGAAGCAAACACAGGGAAAGAAAGCCTGCACATACGATATCACGACTGCATCTGATGAAAACAGAATAAAATCAGGAAAGGACGTCACATTTCTCTAAAAGCAAATTTCCTCGTTCCTTCTCTCCTTGCATGATTTCCTTGCAAGTGAGGGAAACGTGGATGCAATTAAGAGAATTGAATCAGAATCAGTTTTATTTGCCAGGTATGTGTACACATATGAGGAATTTGACTCAGGATTGTACATTGCTCACGATGTGCTTACTCATACAATAATACATTTTGTAAAATAAGATACAACAACATAAAAATCCGACACAGGCTACAGTATAAAGAACACAATCTATATACAGACTATAAACAGAAACAGCCAAGTTGTGAGAAGCACCCATTGACCGCTGCATGTGAAAGGAAGTGTTGACCCAGATTTACACTAGCCACACCAGGAGCCAGAACATTGTCTGTTGCTCCCAGAGGCTAAATCCTCTTCAGTCGATGAACGATGGGTTCAGAGATTGCCCTCATGCAAACAAGTTGTGTCCATTAATGAATCATGCCGTCCAGAGATAAAGACATTTCTTGATTCCATGTGTCTTTGTCTCCTTTTGGAGTTTATAGAGTTTAAGCTTTTGGTCTGAGACACAGGGACAGACCTCATGTTTGGCTGGTTTGTCGCTGCCATGTAAAAAGATGGTTTTGCTGCAAAGGAAAACCCCTGTAGATATTGCAGGTGTTTTTCAGTTTAGAGATGTTCATCCATTATATTCTGTTGATCTCCACACCAACAGATGGAAAGAACATGGACTACATGTGCAATCTGAAGTATTAACTCATAATTAAAGGGAACAATTTATGTAAGTCAGGAAAAAAAGCATATTGAGCACATGAATGACTAAGATGAGGGAATTGTTTATAATATTAGGATTCAAATTACTAACTTGTGGAAATGAAATCTCCCTGTTGCAACATCTATTAATCTCCATACAAACTAGATGTGGTTATAATATGGACTTAGTGTTTGCTGAAGTGCTCTTGACTACAGTTCTGCTACAGTTCGTGTCTTTGCACTGTTTTGTTTCTCTTCTGATTACCTCAGATCAGGCGTAACCACGAGCACTCTGACTGTGTCTCTGGGTCTCCAGAGTCTACAGGGAATAAACCCCAATCAAGTGACTCGTACAGTATCACAGATCATCGTTCATCCCAACTTTAACTCCGGAACTTTTGAAAACGATATCTGCCTCCTGAAGCTCTCCTCACCCGTGACTTTCACCACCTACATTCAGCCCGTCTGTCTGGCAGCCACAGGCAGCACCTTCTACAAGGGGACTCTCTCCTGGGCCACCGGCTGGGGCAATGTTGGAACTGGAGGTGGGTCAGAAAGCACCTGGATTACATTTATTCTCAGAGACAAACTAATTACAATGGTGGCAATAACTTTCTCAGGATTCATCGAGTGATAAGCAGGTTTGAGCCCAAACGCACAACAGTGGAGCGCTGACATCAGTTTGCAAGGTTTATTAGGAAAAAGCAGAATAATGTGACTTCCATGGAAGCATGGAAGCATGTAACAAATTATAACAAAGGTTATGATCTGTTACACAAAACTAAATTCAAATAAAACTGGTAAATGCAACCTCACAGAGACAAGCAGAACCCTCAACATACTGCAATGACTGAAGAGGGACTGAAAACCATTTATACAAGAGCAAACAAGCGTTGTGGGACACAACCAGGGGACACACATCAGGTACTCAGGATAGGGAAGACTCTCTCAAACACACACACACACAGAGGCAGGGAGATACAGATGTGATACAGATCAGTGGCCTGTACTAGCAAGCTAAGGTGGACAGGTTTTTAAAAGAATCTTTATGATGGTTATCAGATGATATTCAGGCTTTTTCTTGTAAATTTGTGATTATTTCCCCCCTGTAAATTTAACACTTTAACCTCATAAAATATTCTTTTGGAAATTTTTCTCAGATTATTACCGCTCTCCCCTGGCTCCATTTTATTGTTTAACGGACCTAATATGCAGTTGCACCTTTACATCTTAAATACTATTATGAAGCCTGACTTTTCCTGAGTTAAATCTGAGTAGGTTGAACTCTACGAAGGGTAGCAACCATTTTAAAAGATGTGACCATTTGTTTATTAACCTGAATTTGTGTCTCTTCAGTGTCCCTTCCTTTCCCACAGAACCTAATGGAGGTGCAGCTGCCGATTGTTGGAAACAGAGAGTGTACCTGTAACTACGGAGTGAGCTTGATCACAAACAACAAGATGTGCACTGGGTTCAGTGCTGGAGGAAAGGACATCTGTCAGGTGATCATTTTTATGCCTGTGTTTGTGTCAGATTTGACCTTCTGCAAAGATTCCTTCTCCTAAATGTTTCTCTCCTTTAAGGGGGATGGAGGAGGTCCGCTGGTGAGCAAGCAGGGCGGTCGCTGGATCCAGGCGGGAATCGTGAGTTTTTCCAGTAGTAAGGGCTGTGCCCAGCCTAAAATTCCATCAGGCTACACCCGGGTATCCCAGTATCAGTCCTGGATCAACAGCCGGATCACCAGCAACCAGCCAGGCTTCATCACCTTTACCTCCGCTGGGACTGACGGTGACCTCAGCATAAGCTGTCCTACCACCCCACCAACAGCAGCCCAAGGTAAGTGCCTACCACGTCCAGACTTTGATTTTTAACTTTACATTTCGCCTTGGAAAGCTTATTAGATATTTTCTTCTTCTTCTAACAAACAGTTTCATATTCTGTTTTAGAATGTATTTGAATGGAGATGTGTCCATTTACTGTTTTACATAATGAAGTGCATTTGAATGGTGATGCGTTCACTAACTGTTGTACATAATGAATTTCATACCAGCACCATGGTTGTTTATAAAACAATAACGTTAAATAATTGTGATCACAGGAGTACGACTCTTCATAAAGAGTAAACCTGACTTCATGTGTAAAATCAGTGGAGGGCCCCTTTAACTTCTGCTACTGTCATGTTTTTGTGACATTAAGGTGTCACCAGGGACTGGAGCAATAGACAGTACTTGTAGTAGTATGAGTAGTTTGAATGTGTTTAGTGATAAAAGTGATCACAAAAGTCCCCCATGTAAATTAAGCATGACGCATTTTATATTTACAAATAAATTGGTGTTTCGAGCATGTGAGTCTCACTTACAACTAGATGCTAAGTCAAAGTGTCACTGTCCATTTGTCATTTGGATGTTTTAAACATGTTGTTGGACGTGAACATTTGAAAATAGTTTCATTATTGTTAGTATTTGCTGTGAACCCCGTCTCTCTTGATCTCTTCTTAGTGTGTGGTCAGCCAAAACTCAACACCAGGATTGTTGGAGGACAGGTGGCCTCTGCAGGCAGCTGGCCCTGGCAGGCCAGTCTGCAAACCTCTACAGGGTTCCACTTCTGTGGAGGAACCCTTATTAACAATGACTGGGTGATGACTGCTGCTCAATGCTGCTCAAGGTAAGCAGAGAGGGTAGGGCATTGACAAAAAACCATATGCTGTTCAGCCTGTCTAAGGTAGTGGTTCCCAACTTGAGGGCAGGAATCTCTCCAGGGGGTCGCAGCATAAACTGGAGAGGTCGTAAGAGGATTGACAGGACAGGACAGATGAAAAATATTATTCTGCTACTGTGTTGTTTTAAGGTGTGATGATGTGTAGCAAGCAGACAATGATTTATTTTGAGGGGTCATCAGCCAAAAAGGATGGGTACTGCTGCTCCAAGAGGCAGGGGACAAGATTAAAGAGGGGTATTCTAGAAAAAGTTCATTTTTGACCTACGTAGCTCTGTCTGTAGGCAAGTTTGGCATCATAAGTGTTATGGTTTCTGTTTGTAGTCCGACTACTATTAACCAATCAAGTTTGAGCAGGCTTTGATTGCATGTAGGTTAACAGACTGTGTGGAGAGCAAAGAGGTGGAACGCTTTGCCCCTAATACAATCTCTGAACCCATTGGCTACCGTCTGATAGGGATTTACTTGTTACAAGCAATCCGGTCATGGATGTCTCCAACTCCATTCTTGTGTCACAAGTTGCTAATCGGACTGTAAACATGGGGTGCATCTCAAGTCTCTTATAGCTGACGTAATCGCTGACGCAATCTGTACTCATGCGTTGGCGTCTGTAGCTACCTGTCGGAAACTCCGTCTTAAACCTGACTCTTATGCGGTTTTAATCCAGACTTTTTTATTACATTTTTTATATCCTTTTTATTTAACTTGAGTTTTTAAATTATTTTTTAACTTGAGTTTTATGTGGGTTAAGGATTTTAGTCATCCGACATGGATTTTAAGCTAGATGTAAAAACGCGATCAACGCTACTGATCACAACAAAGCTCCAGCGACTAACGTTATGCTAGCCGAGTTAACTCTGCCCCGTGAGGACTGCACACTCTTTAAGAAAGTGAACAAAAAGATTGCTGACCTTATGGAAGACATCCAACGACTTTCAGAGGAACTCAAAGAGAAAGATTCCCTGCTGACTGGCTTTATGGATGTGGCTTCAGTACAAGCCAAAGAGATTGTTTCTCTTAGTGCAACCGCTAACATCCAGGACACCGTGCTATGGGGCCCATCTACCCTTTCAAGGCTTTCCTACTGCTCAACTCAAAAGCATCAGTCAACCTGGGCTGAAGTGGTGGTCCGCGGCTGCAAGAGAGGGTCGGACGGGGCTGCCTCTCCTCCGCACATCGGCCTCTCCAACCTCTATGAAGCCCTGTCTGACTACAGTCTGGTCCATCCAGCGTATGCACTTGGGGCTTCGAGTCTCCCTGATATGGATCCCTTTCAGCGGATAGTGCCTGCCGACACTGTTGCATCTCCTCCACCGGCTTCATCTCCTGCACTGGCGGCAAGCGGTGATCGGCTGGGCCACCGGTCTGCCGTTGGGCCTGATCGGCGGCCGTCATCCCGGTCAAAAAACTCCGCTTCCCGACGTAGGATCCTGAAGGAGGCTGTGCTCAGACGCTCCGGAGGCCGTCTCTACCCTGCACCGTCGGGTAGCCCTTCTCTCAGGTCTGTTACTGCTACTCCAACACAACACTCGGCAGCTCACACACTCCATCCTCAGTCCGCACGCAGTGTTGAAGCAGATTCTGCTCAGTCCTGCTCTGGATCCCCACAACCGGCATCTCCTCATCCTCTTTTCTCCCCAACCACACTAATAATTGGTGACTCCATAACCAGAAACCTCCGTTTCTTTAACGCTACCACTCACTGCTTCCCCGGTGCCACCACGGCTGACATTTTTAAAAAAACTCCAGGACCTAATGCCATCGCTCCCGTCCTCCATCACAAGAGTGATAGTCCATGTCGGAACAAATGACACAGCTCTTCAGCAGTCTGAGCTGACAAAATCAGATTTTAACCGTCTTCTTAACTTTTTAAAGCAGTTTTTATCTCTGGTCCCATTCCCACAGGTGGTCGTGGTGCTGGCCCCTTCAGTAGACTCCTTGGCCTCCACAACTGGCTCCAGTCCGCCTGCAGGACTCATCGTGTGTTTTATGTGGATAATTTTAATATTTTCTGGCAAAGAATGTCTCTTTTTACAGACGGACTTCACCCTAACAAACGGGGCTCAGAAATGTTAGCTGCTCTCATACAGCATGTGGTGCGGTCCACACATGACTTACGTGAATGACTAATCATTCATGCAGCACACCTGGACACACCACCGCTCACAGAACAGATCTCTGCCTCACTGCCACAAACAACTGTCTCCACCTGCTGGCATGTAAAGCGGTCTGCTCCCAGCGCTGTTCCACAGACTTCTATTCCTGTCATCATCACGCATAGACCAGTAAACCGAAACGTGCACATCCCACACAGAAATATTAGTAATCTCTTAAGGATTAGGACAACTGCACCAACTCCAGCACCCAGAACAAACTCATTTAAAATGGCTCTCTTCAATGTGAGATCTCTGTCAAGTAAGACTTTTATCTTAAATGATTTTATCTTGTCTGCAAATCTCTTTTAACTGAATCCTGGTTGCAAATGAATGACTATAGCCAGCTAGCTGAACTGTGTCCGTCTCAATATGATTGTTTTAGTCAACCGAGGGTCAGTGATCGTGGTGGTTAGTGAGCGTGTATAGGAAAAATTTAAAATCAAGTACGCTGTGATGAATTTAACTCCTTTGAAGTTCTCACTCTTAAAGTTAGAGGGCTGCAACCTATCATATTTGGATATATAGGATTTTTATCAGAACTTCCTGAATTTTTATCTACTCTGGTTTTAAATTATGACAGAATTGTTCTTTGTGGCGATTTTAATATTCATGTTGATGACCCCAACAATGTTAATGCAACTGACTTTTTAAATATGGCCACTTCTTTTAACTTCAAACAACATGTCGAAGGGCAAACACATAACCGTGGTCATACACTGGACTTGGTTTTTACCCTGGGTGTCAGCATTTCCTCTGTGGAATTAGTGGACATGACCATATCTGACCACAGATGTATGTTTTTAGCTGTGATTCGCCTGTTACTCATGCCGCCTCACCGAGCTCCGTGTGTTCTCGCATCTTTAATGAACAAAGTGTTTCAAAGTTTTGCACATTCTTTCAGAGCCAAAGCCAACACCTGTCTGATTCCAACACCAACAATCTGGTCGATCACTTCAATCATATCTGCTTGTCGTCACTAAATATTATTTCTCCTCTAAAGGTTAGGCCTACGTCTAAAGCTAGTAAGCAACCCTGGATAAATGACAGCATTCGCAGCCTCAAAAGGGAATGCAGGAAAGCAGAGCGCAGATGGAAAAAATCCAGTCTCCAAGTCCATTACCTCAGTCTGAAGGATTTATTAATTAATTACAATAACATGGTTAAGGATGCGAGAACACACTATTTTTCTGAACTCATTACTACACATAAACACAATCCCAGGTTTCTGTTTAAGACTGTGGATCAGCTGGTAAACCCAACCCCTCCTTGTGCCTCAGCGGGAAGTAATGATGACTGTGAATTGTTTTTATCTTATTTTACCAATAAGGTGGTGTCAATCAGAGCCTCTATTACCCCTGCGGCCTCTTACTCAGAGGTTCCTCACCAGCAACAAGAGAGTTTTAACCAGTTTTATCCCATCGACTTGTCTGAGCTTTTAAAAACAGTATCACAATGAGAGTGTCCTCCAGCCCACTTGATGTTATACCTACAAAGTTTTTTCTGAAAGTAATGGATTCTGTTGGGCCCCATTTGATCTCTGTTTTCAACAGCTCCCTATCTACTGGTTGGGTCCCTGATTATTTTAAAACGGCTTGCGTGAACCCACTTTTAAAGAAACCTGCTTTAGATCCCTCCCTCCCACATAATTTTAGACCAATTTCAAAACTGCCTTTTACTGCAAAGATTCTAGAAAGAATTGTGTCCAAACAGCTGCTCACTGTACTGGAAAATAACAAAATATTTGAAAAGTTTCAGTCTGGTTTCAGGAAGTACCACAGCACTGAGACTGCCCTGCTTAAAGTCACCAATGACCTTTTAATGTCTGCTGATGAAGGCATGTGCTCAGTCCTGGTACTCCTGGACCTTAGCGCTGCTTTTGACACTATTGATCACAACATCATAGGACCTTACTACCCTACCAGAGCACTGCGCTCCCAGAATGCAGGGTTACTTGTGGTTCCTAGAGTCTCCAAAAGTAGACTAGGAGCCAGAGTGTTCAGCTATCAAGCTCCTCTCCTGTGGAACCATGTTCCATTTTGGGTTCAGGAGGCAGACACCATCTCCACATTTAAGAGTAGGCTTAAGACTTTCCTCTTTGATAAAGCTTATAGTTAAGGCTGGCTCAGGTGAGTCCTGAACCATCCCTTAGTTATGCTGCAATAGGCCTAGACTGCCGGGGGATTTCCCATGATGCACTGAGCTCCTCTCTCCTCTACTTTCTCTCCCTCTGTATGCAACCTCATCCCATTATTGCATGTTACTAACACAACCCCTTTCTGGTAGTCTTGTGCTTTCTCGTCCCTCTCCTCTCTCTCCTATCACTTCCTGCAGGTGTTTCTGGCTCTGGAGCTGTGGAGTCTGGATCTGTGGTTGCGGGTCACCTGCTGCCCCTGTGTTCCTGCTCGACACCCTCTGCTGCAACGACTATTGTTATTATTATTGTTAATATCAATAACATTACGACTGTTATCATTACACTACTAATATCTATACCATTTTTCATTTAGTCTATAGCAACATCACCTTTACTGTCTGTACCTCTGTGTGTGTATATTGTGTAGGCTGCCTCCCTCCCCTCTCTCTCCTTCCATCCCTCTCTTTTTCTCTCTGTTCCTCTCTTGCCCCCTCTCTCTCTCTCCTCTCTCTCCTTCACCCCAACCGGTCGAGGCAGATGGCCGCCCACCCTGAGCCATGGTTCTGCTCGAGGTTCCTGCCTCTTTTCTTTGCCTCTGTCGCCTAGTGCTGCTCTTGGTGGGAACTGTTGGGCTTCTGTAAATAGCATCATAGAGTACGGTCTAGACCTGCTCTTCTATGAAAAGCGCTGTGAGATAACTGTTGTTGTGATTTGGCGCTATATAAATAAATTGAATTGAATCGAATCATGTTAGACAGACTGAGGCACTGGGTGGGGATCTCTGGTACTGCCCTAGAATGGTTTTCATCCTACCTGTCAAATAGGAAGTTTTGCATGTCTGTAAACAAGTATGTCTCCTCGTTCTGTCCAGTTAAATATGGTGTGCCTCAGGGGTCGGTCTTAGGACCCATTTTGTTTTCCTTGTAACTGC